GAAAGGTCTCATGAGTTACAAATACCATCTTTCCACATAGGAATATAAACAGTTTCAACTTTAATAAGTCCCATATGATTTCTCTTTCCTATTTACCTTTTCATGCTTCTCTTGAGTCTTGTATTTAAAAGTCAAATCTTCTATTCAGCTTTGGTCTTTTCATCAAGAATTCTTGAATGTCCTCTATTTCATTGAATATCCAGTTTTTTGCCCTGAAATATTATACACTGTTTTGCTGGTAGGTGATTCTTGATTTTAATCCTAGCTCTTTTGACCTCGGCAAGAATATCATATTTCAAGCTCTCTGATTCCTTAATGTAGAAGCTGCTAAATCTTGTATTATCCTGATTGTGTTTCCACAATACCTGAATTGTTTCTTTTTGTCTGTTTGCAATATTTTCTCCTTAACTTTGGAATTTGGCTATAGTATTCCTAGGAGTTTTCCTTTGGGGACCTCTTTCAGGAGGTGATTGGTGGATTCTTTCCAGTTCTGTTTTACCTGCTGGTTCTGGAATATCAGGGCAGTTTTCCTTGATAATTTCTTGAAAGATGATGTCTTAATCATGGTTTTCAGGTAGTGCTATAATTTTTAAATTGTCTCTCCATCTATTTTCCAGGTCAGTTGTTTTTCCAATGAGATATTTCATATTGTCTTCTATTTTTTCATTCTTTCGGTTTTGTTTTATAATTTCTTGATTTCTCATAGAGTCATTAGCTTCCATTTGCTCCATTCTAATTTTTAAGGAATTATTTTCTTTGGTGAGCTTTTGGACTTCCTTTTCTATTTGGCTGATTCTGCTTTTAAAGGCATTCTTCTCCTCATTTGGCTTTTTGGACCTCTTTTGCCATTTGGGTTAGCCTATTTTTTAAGGTTTTATTTTCTTCAGTATATTTTGGGTCTCCTTTACCAAGCTGTTGACTCATTTTTCATGATTTTCTTGTGTCACTCAATTCTTTTCCCAGTTTTTCCTCTGCTTCTTTTACTTGCCTTTCAGAATCCTTTTTGAGCTCTTCCTTGGCCTGAGACCAATTCATATTTGTCTTGGAGGCTTTGTATGTAGGAACTTTGATTTTGTTGTTTTCTTCTCTGATTTCTTTAATGCTGTTTGCTCATGTTCCCAGCCAAGTCTTTGACTTTTTAACTCTTTGTTAAAGTAGAGCTTGGCTTCCAGTGTGGAGGGTCTGCTGTCCCAAGCTTCAGGAGTTTTGTACAGCTGTTTTCAGAGCTGCTTTTAGGAACCTGTAAATTTTCAGTTCTTCCAAGTTAATATGATCCAAGGAGAGGTGTTTACTCTTTTTGTGGCCTGTGCTCTGGTCTATGAATTATCACAGGCACTGTTTTCTGCCTTGGAACTGTGCAAGAGGATTCGCTCTGCACAGCTGCCACAAGCTCCACCACACCAGTGTTCCTCACCCCAAGACTACCACCCAGGACTGCAACCCAGATGCAAGCACGGGCAAAGCAAGAGAATCCTGCCTCAGCACCAGCAAAGAGATCCCTGCAATCCCCCTCTGATCATCTGCTTAATCCCCCTCTGATCATCTGCTTAATCCCCTTACTGTCTGTGGGCCAAGAGCTCCAGAAGCAGCCACTGCTGCTGTGGCCTGCAGCCTGGGGCTGCACTAAGACCAGTACTTAACCATGCTCCTCTCTCACCCAGGTCCAACAGACCTTTCCCACTGACCTTGTGAGTTGTGTTTGGCATTTGTGGTTGACAAGTTTGGAAACCATCACGGCTCCCTGTAATTCAGTCTCCTGAGGCCTGCTCCAGATTTGCTGGAGCCCTGTCTTTGCCTGTGCAGACCATGCTGAATTGTACTCTCCCAACTGGGTGCAACAGACCTTTCTTATCAACCATCCAGGTTGTCTTGAGCTGGGAATTTGTTTCACTCTGTCTTTTTATGGGTTCTCCTACTCTAGATTTTTTTTAGAGTCATTTTTTACAGGTTTTTGGAGGAGTTTGGGGGGAGGTCAGGCAAATCACTGCTTTTGCTCCACCATCTTGGTTCTGCCCCGAGGCATTATTTTAAATTTTTTTGAGAGGAATTTGGGAAAGGTCAGGTGAGTCACTGTCTTTACTCTTTTATCTTGGCTCTGCCCCTGCCCTGATTCTTTAATTGAAGTATGGAGGTAATGAAGAAGTTTGGGGCTGAGAATGCCAAAGCAGAATTGCCTAGAATGAATTCACATACTCAAGCCATCCTTTAATGAAGTGGCACGGTTTATTGTGACGCCAATAGAAGCGGGCAAAGTTCCAAGGGAACCTTCAACTTGATGGGGGTAAATCTAGAGCTTATATAGAAAAGAACAAGGAAGGGAATGTTAAGGATCCTAATTAGGTAATGCGAGGCATCCAGGTGTCTTTGGGAGCAGGCATCAGTGATCTATGGATGGGAAAATTCAGGAATCAGCAGAGACAATTTTTTTGATACCAGACATTGAGGGAGAAAAGACAGGTTTTTGTTTAGTTGCCAGAGGCATGGGTAGTCACCAGGGGGGTGGGGGGCAAAATGGATTACTTAGACATAGTCTTAGGGCCTTTTGGGGTCTAAGTCCCACCACTCCATTAGTAGTGCTAGTATAAAATGAAATCTGGAAGTTTCTGCTAAACTGGAGAGATGTCAAATATAGGTCAGGTAAAGAAATGTATTTCTTTTGTCTGAGAAATAGAGAGGCTCCTTACCAGGTTGGATTCTGGATTCAGGATAAAGAAAGTTTCAATCAGAGTGACTAGAAAATTACTCATAAATTTGTTTTGAAGGAGGGAAGAGTGTTACCACATGTGCTCATAGAGATTTATTTTAAAAGGATTAAGATAACTTTTCAGAAATATCTTCCCTTTTACAAATTTCTGCATATTAATGTGTGGTTTTCAAATTAAAACTTATCAAATCATGTCTCTTAAGAATATTTCTTATTGCTCATTGAAATTTGGTCTCAAAAGATAACATTGTATGCAAAAGGTCTGATCTTCAAGATAGACTACTATCCTTTGTTATCATACAGGCCCGGCCAAAACTAATTAGACAGGCTATCTTATATTGTATCACATTTCAGTAGTACTCTGTCTTGGATACATAGCAAACCAAATGAGAGAAGCTGAAAACTTCCTTTATTTGTAAGCAAGTGACTTGCCATCATAGGTAATGGATAATGAACTGGAAGAGATTTCTGAGGAAATTAGTCAAACTCCTCCATTTACAGGTGAGAAAACTGACACTGAAGGAGGTTGTGACTTGCCCAGAATCACACAGATGGTAAATTACAGAGAGGGGCTGGAAACCCCAGTCATGTGAGTACATTGCAAGGTGTCATTTCACCTTCTTAACTGTACTCTCCTTTGGAACACCAGAGTTTGATTCCTTCCTGAGGCATTCCCTAGCTGTGTAGCCCTAAGCAAGTTACTTCTCTGTGCCTTAATTTTCTCATCGGTAAAAAAAAAACACCACATAATAATATGACTTACCTGAAAAGGTTCTTGTGATAACCAAACTAGTTAGTATATGTAAAACATGTTGCAAACCTTAAAGTCCTATTATATGTATATTTACATATATGCATATAATTGATAACATCACAGGTATTATATGATTTTCATTCATGGTATATCCGGAATCCTTGGACTCTAACCAGGAATTGGCACATTAGACCATAGACAAAGGCTGGGCCAGCTCGAATAGTGATTTAAAATGCACATAGTAATCAATTTTTAGAACTTCTTTGTTCTTTATAATAATGGGATGTTTTATAGTTGAAAGGCCTACTTGGAGTATAATGATAAAGACTGTTCTTTCTCCTTGGTTGTTTAGAAATATCAAAGTATAAACTGATGAATCTGCATCAGCCATCCTGCAAAGTCTTCTTTCTAATACACTTAAAAGTAGAGATATAAGCAATATTCTTAACTTTCCCCTATTACTGATCTTCAAGCATAGGTCTCAGTTTCTTTTTTCACTAGATCACACAAGTACCATTTTTATCTTCCTAGGTGATTTTAGGACATCTAGGAAACATCATAGTTCAGTCAGCATCATTTCCCCAGCTGTACTCTTAACTAGCAATAATCCGTGATCTGTAGGGTCTTCAGTCCTAGTCCGTTATTGCTAATAGATCTCCCAAGTCTATTTGCTCTAATATCTACCGTAACAAAGTTGTCCGAATATTTCTGTGCTCCAATCAAGCTTAATATCTCCCTTCACCCATTAAAAAACCAAAGTTTAAACTGATTTTAGGGAAATATGTTATTGTTCTCTTAAATAAAAATACCAGAATAAAGGCTGGAGAGAATAAAGTAATGCGCCATAACGACTCTGATAGATATCAGTGGAGAGAATACCCACACAAAAGAAATAGCAGTTCACATCATAGCATAGCAATGTGCAATTACTGTATCTTTATGAAATATTATTGCTGTAAAGTTCAGATTTACTTTCACTAAAGTAAAAATTTATTTTAAATTATGTTAATATATATTTACATATTTTATGATTTCAAAGCATTTTACATAAATTATATCATTTGACCCTCATAACAATGAGTAGTGTATTATTATCCCCATTATATAAAATTTTTTCCTTTAATCCATGTGAAATATGAGAAAAAGAGTAACTTTTCCCCTGTAGGTTGATTTTCTTTAATTAAACTTATCAGCTGAAGCCTTAGTACTTCATTTTATCAAGCCTCTTTTAAAGTTAATATTAGTCAAATTTCACTGTTATTTGGACCTGGTTGCTAGGCCGAATATTTTCTCCAGGATTGAGGGTGGTGCAGTTCACATTTAAGGCTCCCAGTGAAGAGGAGAAATATTATTCCATTATAAATCAGTCTCCTGCCTTTTAGGAGAAGATACCATTCCATCAAATCTCCAGTCTCATATCTTGCCTTGGGTGAAGAAGAGTAACAGCATTCCTTCAACTTCTTGCACTTGTCTCTGGGTCTAAATGAAATCCTTGAGGGGAATCCATCTTGAGGCCAAATACTTAGAAACAATGAAAACTGAACTGAATTCATTCCTTAATTGTTAACAAACTCTACCTTGGTCATACCTTCCCCATCCCAAGGACTGATCCCCAAGCTGGTATCATTCAAACCATTTTCTCAGTCTCCCTCCTCATCCCTTCTTTCCATTCTCCTTAAACCAACCCTCTCTGATATCCCACTCTGTAGCTATCTACCCATTCCACTGTGTTCTCTGGAATATGCAGTAGTGTACTTTCTTCTTAAATCTTTTCCTTTCCCATTCCTTCCACCTTCTGGCTCTCAATGAGACCTGATTCCATTCAGATGACACAAACCTCCCTATCTTTTCCAGCAGCTGCTGCACTCTGACTCATTTTCCCATTCATTTGTCAAGTTGAGGAAGTTAGAATGGTTTTTGCTTCCCATTACCACTTCTAGGATCTCTGAATACTACCACCACTAAGTAATTTCTCCTTTTTTGAGGTCCACTCAGTTCATATCTACCATCCAGTCAAAATTCTGGTAGTCCTTCCATCCCAACCTCCAAGATACTATCCTTTTTTCAGTGAGTTCAGTGACTCACTCGCAGGCTTCTTCTCTTTGCCAACTCTTACCTACATGCTAAGAGAATTTAACACATATATTGGTGCTCCCTTAAATACCCTAATCTCACTGTTCCTCAACTCTCATTTTCAGGAAAGTTGTGTGGCTGACCTATGACAACTTACCTAGTAGCTGCTGGGAGAAAGAATTAAATCAGTTAGCTGACCCTAGGCCCAGTGTTTTCTTCCTTATGCCAAGTTAGAGTGTTCTGCCTTTGTCAGTACAGTGTGTATTAATGAAATCAGAGACATATTGAATTAAATAATTGACTTTAAAGGAAGAGCTGAGAGTGAAATAGCTACAATTCTATTTTTGGTTATGTCAGATGCTATCTTGGACAAGTCATCTCATCTTTATAGGCCTCATTTTCCTTTTCTGTTAAGTGAAAATTTTTGAGTACAGAATCTCTGAGGTCCCTTCTGAATGTACAATACATCAACAATTATGATATGAATCAAAATTTTGCATCAGCTTCACCCTCTGAAAATCATTAACTTCCCTCTCCCTTTATATGTTTTTCTCTTTTTGTTATTCTCTTCTCCATCTCTTTGTTGTCTGTAAAAGGAAAGAAGTTAAGCAATTACTGTAGGAATTAATCACTGAAACTGTTGAATTCATGACTTTTAATGGCATGCAAAGGCTGAGAATGAAAGTTTATCATGATTCCCAGTTCTGTTGTCTATTTATAGAAAATGAATTGCTTTAGGATTTGACCCCCATGGTGGCAAGAGACACTTGTAATTAGTAGAAAGGCTAAGTTCTAATGTAACTCATCTTTTATTCAAATAGGCATAGAGAATAGCTCAATTAGAGATGGATAACTTAATTTTGCTGTTGGTTGCTTTATTTAAATATACAATTCCTTGATCACAAAGACAGATGGTAGAAGACATGTTTTACTTAGATGGTATAGAAATGTTCATTACATTTATCTGGATATATCCTATTCAAATTTTAGATTGATTTATCTTAATGACTTTTCAGGAAAGTTTGGAAGGCATTGATTTTTAAAAATTTAATAGAAAATTGATTTCTCAGTTTTTTAGAAGTATGGCTCCAAATTCTCTTGTACAAATTTTCTCGGGGCAGGTAGGTGGCACAGTGGGTAGAGCGCTTGCCCGGGATTCAGGAGGATCTGAGTTCAAGTCTGGCCTCAGACACATAACACTTAGTAGCTGTGTGACCCTGGGCAAGTTACTTAACCCCATTGCCTAGCAAAAAAAAAACCCAAACCAAAACCAAACAAAAAATTTTCTCTGTGGGCCTACCTCCTGTTCAAATTCTTGTTTATAGAAAATATTTAAATCATTATTAGTATTATTCTTTGGGTTCCTTCAACTTGCATATTTTTCTCTTAAAATATATATTTAGATTGCTTATTTTATTTTGTTTTATTTTTTAAAGGTGACATAAAATCAGATTTTCTTAAGATAAATATTCTTTTGCTTTACCACCTCATAGTACAATATTGATGAATTACATTCAAAGAATAATTTATAATGATTTTCTAAATAATTTCTCATTGTACATTTTTATACATGGTTAACTTATAATTATGCAGTTTTTGTTTGGTGTATTTAATTCATTATTGAATTTTCTATTGTTTTTGAAGTTTTCTTTACAGTCTTCTGGTATTGTACTTTATGAATTCTTATCCTGTATAATTTGTTAGGAACTTTTCTATTTTAATATTTAGTTGTCTGAAAACTTAATGATTTAAGTAATCTATACCTTTTCTTTTACATATATATGGATATACATGTGTTGCAACAATGCATGTTCTTATTATAAAGCATACTACTTGCTCTCCTCAATTTGAATTCAGAATAACTAACTGTAAACAAGTTGAATTGTTGAACTTAATGTTCTCTGATGTTTTCTAGCTTACTGATTGGCATATTGTATATACTACAATTGTGTGTGTGTATAAACAATATATAATTCATATATAAAAATATATAACTAAAATAATGTAAATAATATATTGTATATATGTGTATGTATTATGTATAACATACTATGTATGTGTGTGTACACATATATACATATGTGTGTGTGTATATATATATATACACACGCACATATAATCAAGGGAAAATGATAGTTGTTATATGTGTGTGTGTGCATAATATGAGCCAAGATTTTTTCATTCCAATTTCACAGCATTCAATTTTGATTATTGTTTTTTGCATGTACGTTATTGTAGTTGTAACACTGTTTTCCTTATTCTAATCATACAGCTATAGATATAGATAGATACACACACACACACATATATACACATACATACGTACATATATGTATATATATAGAACATTTATCATTTTACCTTGATCTAATATTTTATTCTATAATACAGGAACTCAGATTAAATGGATTTGCTCTCTGTATCATATACATATTTCTACTTCATAGAGATATTTTATGTAGATTTATCATTTGATAATTTATTTTACTATTTGAGAAGGTATGAAGTACAGTTGATAAATCTTTAATGCAATCTTTTGCATTCTTACTTTAAAAAGGCACCATATGTAATGTGAATGAAGGACATTCTTCTGTCTACTACTCAAGTAATTTTTCATGAGTCTGTGTAATTTATTTCTATTTTTCTGAAGTAATGACTGATATGTTAATGGGATAGCATTATGGTATACCTAATAGAATATATCCAATTTATTTAAGCTAATAAAAACCTTAAAAATAAATTTTTTTTGTTTCATCAGAATCTCTATTTTCCTATATATTTTCTCTTATCCTTTCAAGAGAACCATATTTAATCTCAAAGAATAAAAAAGTGGAGAAAAATTATTTTGCAAAGCTAATACAAAGAGTCTGACATTATATGTAGTATACAATACCCATAGTCTCCTGCCTATGTAATGAAAATAGATTTTTTTGGTATCTTATTAGAACTAAGATTTTTCATTCCAATTTCACAGTATTCAGTAGCTTTGATTATTTTGTGGTTCTTTCCATGTACATTATTGCAGCCATGGACATTGTTTTACATATTATAATCAATTCATTTTTTCAGTTTGTATAATTTTGCCTATACTTTTTTGCAATCATATTTATTCTTACAGCATAGTAACATTTCATTACATTTGTGCACCATAAATTGGTAGCTATTCTTTAATAGATATCTTTTTTCTTTTCCATTTCTAAATTCTTTGATGTGTATGAGGAGCCTATGTGATGAAATAGATAAAGTTCTGGGCCTTATGTCATGGAGGTGTGAAATTAGATCTAGTCTGAGATTCTACCTGTTTCACCCTGAGTAAGTCACTAGCCTCTATTTGCTTCAGTTTCCTCAATTGTAAAATGAGGTTAATTATGATAATTATAGTACCTATCTCCCGAAGTTGTTTTGAGAATCGAATGAGGTAATATTTGTAAAGTGCCTAGCCCAATGCCTGGCACATAGAGCTTAAATAGATATATATTTCTTTCTTTCCTTCCTTCCTTGCTTCCTTCCTTCTTTACTTTGAAAGTATGTAGAACAGTGCACATTACAGATATTTCTTAATTTAATCCTAGGAGTATATATTATGAATGGAAGCTCTGGACCAAAGGGTATGAGCATTTAATTTTTTTTTGCATAATTCCAAATTGCATTCTAGAACAGTTGGACTATTTTACAACATCACCAGGATTATATTAGAGTACCTGTGTTTCAACCATACCTTCAGTGCTTTTAACTCTTCTCATCCTTTGTCATCCTTGCTAATTTGCTTGATCTGAGGTAAAACTTGAGTTGTTTGGTTTTAATTTCTCCTGTCAGTTGTGATCTACAGCAGTCTTTATGGTTATTAATCATTTGCAATCATTCTGTTTGCTCATATTACTTAATGAATTATCTATGGAATATAGAGTCCTACAGGTAAAAGAGATCTTAAATATCATCTAGGCCAGCTTCCAACATCTAGATCAGGCCTGTACAACATAAGGCCCACAGGCCACTTGCTGCTGACAAAGGATTTCTGCAGCTGTCACGTGACCTGCGGGCAACTACCCATTGTCAGTCTGTCTGTAGTCTAGCCTATCTGTGGCCTGAAGAAACTTACAAGTTGGGCAGGTCTGATATAGATCCATGATTGAATTCACTTTGCAAAATCATCAGTAAGTAGTCCTGAATCCACTACTTAAACATGTCATCTGGTGGGAAGAAATCTCGAAAAAAAAAGAGAAAGAGCATTAGTCTTGGAGTCAGGAGACTTAGGTTCAATTTCTAGCTCAGCAGATTACTACAGTTCCCTTAGGTAAACCATTTCACTTCTCAGTATTTTTCTTCATACATAAACTGGGAGGAATAATGAAGTTATAATTTTGTCTGGAATAGAACCTCTAGATTTATAGTCAGTTTTAATCATAGAGGTTTTGCATTCATCATATTCTTTGGGTTTTATTTTAATTTTAAAAAATCATTATTATTTTTATCACCATCACTACCAACACTACCATCATCATTAATGTTATTATCATCTTACCATTTTCATTTTTAAAAAACTGAACTGCTTTGGGGCAGCTAGGTGGCACAGTGAATAGAGCACTGGCCCTGGAGTTAGGAGGACCTGAGTTCACATGCGGCCTCTGCCACATAGCACTCACTAGTTGTGTGACTCTGGGCAAGTCACTTAACCCCAATTGCCTTACCAAACAAACAAACAAACAAAAAAACAAAACTGAACTGCTCTATCTCACCAAGGCTTAAAGTGCAGGAACACAAGTTTGATTTGACTCTGATCTCAATGGGAGATTTGACCTGCTCAGTTTTTCATCCTGAGCAGATTACCTGTCAAAAATTAGGCAACCTGGTAGGTTTCCTTCAGATCAGATGTTAATGCTGAACTTGGTATGCACACCTGATCAATTCAGGCCATTGCAGCTCAGAATTTTATGAGCTCAAGTGATCTGCCAGCCATCCTTAGACTCCCAGTAACAGGGATTGGTGAATGATTGACTGATTGACTAATAATTCAGACCACATCATAGCTCATTTACACTACTGAAATAGTTTTCCATTTGTCCTTCCCGGCTCAAGTCTCTCTCCTATCAAATTAACCTTCTACAAAGCTGGCAAAGTGACATTCCTAAAGCATAGGTCTGAATATATCATGCCCCAGTTCAAGAAGCACCAGAGGCTCCCAAGTTTCTCTAGGATAAAAATATAACCTCTTCTTTTTAAAAGCCCTTCATATTCTATCTCCAGCTTAAATATATAAATTATTGCACATTAGAGTTTTCATATATTTTATAGTATAAACAGGTTTTTTGTCATGACAAATCTCCTCCATCAGGTAACATATTTATAATTATTTCTAGGTGTTTCTTAGGCATATATTCTACACTAATTCATAAATTTATTTATTTGTAATATAGCATTTTACCTTCTACTTCTCTATCTTTGCACAGGCTGTCCCCCATGCTTAAATGTATTATTTCCTCAGCTTTGCCTCTTAGAATACTATCTTCCTTTATGGCTAAGTTCAAGTGATACCACAAACATGAGGTTTAACTTGAATCTCCAGGTGTAATTTCTTCCCCCAAACTACCTAATTTAACATACTTTGTGCATATTTGGGTATTTACTTATCTATGTGCATATTCTTTCTCCAAAAGAATCAATGAATCTTGAATACTGGGACTATATTTGCTTTTCCCTTTGATCTTCGGCATCTAACACAGTGCCTGGAACACAAAAAGGGCTTAATAAATGCTTATTGAATGAATAAATGGATAATTCTAACTTGAGATTCAAATATTCCAAAAAGTGTGATTGGGGTCACTAGATAATATTTTATTCTGTAAGTCTAGGTTTGAGGCTCTTCTATGGAAAAAGTATTTGGGCTCCTTAGAGAATTAAATATCTTAGGGCTTATAAAAGTGTAAGAAGAAAGCCAGATACAATCTGAGATACACCCAAGTATTAAAAGATAGGAAGGATGGAAAGGGCTGGAAAAATAGATGAGAATAATTTACACAGAAATGATAATTGAATCCATGGGTGGTAATGAGATCGTTCTATTAAGCAGTATAGAGGGAGAAGAGAAGACCCAGTACAGAACTTTGGGGGACACCCATAGTTGGTAAGTATAACTTGAATGAAAATTGAGCAATAGAGAGTAATAAGGAGTGGTCAGATAAGTAGGAGGAGAACCAGGAAAGAGTAGTGTCATGAAAGTCTAAAGACAAGAAAACGTCAAGGAATCAATCAAGGGGTGATTAACAATATCAAAGGTTACAGAGTGGTCAAGAAGGATGAGGATAAGGAAAGATCAAAGATTTGACAATTCAGGGAACAATGACAGTTTTGCATAGAGCTGTATAAGTCAATGATTAAGCCAGATTGTAGAGAGTTAAGGAGAGAGTGAGAGGAAATGAAGTGAGACAAAAGTAAAGAAAACTGTACGGTGATAGGGAAAAGAGAATGGATGGATGAAATGAGTTGTGTTTTTTTTTTTAATAAGAGACATATATTTGTACACAGTAAGGATGCAGGCATAGGACATGGAGATACTGAAGATTAGTGAGAGAATGGGGATGATAGAGGGGGATATTTGTTGCAAAAAATAGGATGGAATGGGATCAATTGTTCATATGTAGAAGTTTGCCTTGGCAAAGGGAAGAGCCACCTTATGTTCTACAGTAGCATGGGAGGAGATAGTAGCAGAAGACATTGCAGAGATGAGGAAGAGGGGAAAAGAGAGAGTAAATAGTCTCAACTTTTTTAGTGAAATATATGTCAAATTTCTCGATTGAAAGGGTGATGGTAGAAGGAGTCATGGGGAGCTTGAGAAGTGATGAAAAGATTTAGAAAGTCCACTATGGTAATTGGCATTATGAATTACTTACGGATGTATAAAAGAGTTGTCTTGCTGCAATGCGGAACCAGTTAAAATAATTCAATATAAATGGACCCAGTCAGCATATTTTCATGATATTGTCCACCATCTTTTAGCAGCATGTGAGTAGAAGTGAAGGTCGGTTTTTCTCCACTCAGCAAATATAAAAAGGGCTTAAGTGTTGTTAATAGTTTATAAGTATGTACCTTCATGCAGATGATGATGATGATGATGATGATGATAGCTGGCATTTACACAGTGCCTAAGGGCTTGCAAAATACTTTAAATATGTTACCTCATTTTATCCTCACAACTACCGCAGGCATAGGCTTGTTATTATCCTCAATTTACAGATGAGGAAACAGACTGAAAAGTTTATTTTCCCAGTATCACACAGCTAATAAGTATCTAAGGCAGGATTCAAATTCAGCTCTTTCTGATTCCAAGTCCAGTACAGTCTATCTTAGCTGCAAATGTAAGTATACATACACAAATAAAACATGCAAACATGTGTATATATGTGCATATAGGCACATGTGTACAAGTACCTGAATATATATTTCTGTATAATATATTGAATTATATTATATTGAATTATATAATAACATGAATATAAATACATAAAAGTGTGCATTGAACATGGGCATGGAAGTATTTATACACGTATATTCATACACATAGATTAAATAGAGAGATAGGTAGACAGATTCTATGATTATTAAGCACTTACTATTTGCAAATTAACTCTTTTAGGTGCTGGGGGTTTAAAGAAAAGGGTAAAAATATTACCCTCAAGGGACTCAAATTCTACTAGAAAAAAAGTTGTGCACAGAAAGTCAATATGAAATGTATATAAATACTAAATACCAAGTAATTTGAGGGAAGGAATTAATCAGTGGGAGCAACAAGAAGGGTCTGTAGTAAGTAGGTGGTATTTGAACACAGCCCTTAGGAATTTTAAGACGCAAAGATGAAAAGAGGGAACATTCCAGGAATGATGGTTTATCTATGCAGAGGTACAGAAGTGAATGATAGAATGTCACAGGAATGTCTATGGATATAAATATGGGTTAATTTATGGATATAAATAATATAGTTATATATGTAGCAAGAGAGGGATATATTTGAGGTAGAGATGTGTTTGGCAAGCATCAGCTAATTTTAGCTTTAGTTTTCATGACACTATGGAAAATTCTGCACTACTATTTTGTATTCATCCTTGTTTAACCACACCTTCTTCCATGTTTTCTAGATGCTCTTTTAAAATCTGAGATTATAAGAAAAGTTTTGTGTCAGAATTTTGTTCTTGAGGCATACTCATGCCATTTATTTCTACCTATCATTTTATGAGCTTTGAAAAATTACATGTGAGGGAGACTGATAAAGGAATTTCCATGGACTATATTTTTTTCTTTTTTCTTAGATTTTCTATTTAACAAGCATTTATTTTCTCTTCTATGTACTTCTGCAAATGATTGAAAAATGAAAGAAAATGAAATGAAATGAAAAATATTGTCAAGTAGAAAAATTCTTACATTGACTGTGTCTGAAAGTATGGTTCATTTGTTATTTTGAGTGTACCATGTAATCAGTTTGATATGCTTATCTCTTCCCATACAGCAAATAGACTCCTTTAATCACCTGCATCCTCACTTCTAATACTATCAGACTAACTCCTTTGTTTCATTCTTTGGCTTTCATGACCTCACAACAGCAGAGTCACTTTCAAAGTTTCCATGGAAACACATTATGACCTTTCTTGTTCAGAATTAGGACAAAAGTAGGAATTCCTTAAGACATTTTCTGTACTTTCTGAAAAAAAAAGTAAGTTTTTGAAAAGTCTAGAATGTATTGAATACTCTATTTTTAACTGAGAGCCTCCAGCTACTGTTAAGATAATCAGAGTCTCTTAAGACAACCTTAATTTTTCTCCATCATATTAAACCCATTTTTATTTCAATTTATTCATTTGTAAAATGTGGGTGTTATATTATATGACTTCCAGGCTCTTTTCTAGTTCTAAATTTTATTCTTGTAAGAAACAAATTATTTCATTTATATTTCTCCTGCCTTTTATCTTATAATGTTTTCTATTGAGAAAAAATTCCATTGAAATTAAAGAACTTACTCAGCTAATAAATGTTAATTCAGATCAGATCTGAAACCCAAACAATTGACTCCTGGACATTGAGGGAAAAGAATATAGAATTCCTAAGTAGAATAAAAGGCAGATGTGTCATTGACAAAGAGTACAAAACTGTCATGGAGGCAAGAGGAGGTAAAAATGGAAGATTTCAGTTCTTATTACCGACTATAGGTCTGTCTCCCCTAAAAGTAGGCAATCTAAAAAAAGTCTTGACCTAACAATTTAGTTTTATGAAGAGTAGGGGAAGTGATGGCAAGAACATCTAAATAAGAGTTGACTCGGATTCTTGGATTTCTATGGATTTCTCTATAAGAGTGTAATTATATTCTTTTTTTTAACCTGCATTCTTTTTTGGGGGGGTTTCTGACTTCTGTCAAATAGATTGTTGTTTTTATTGGAAATGGCCTTTTTAGATTTGGTCTCACAACTAATAATGTATCCTATTTTTCCTTGTTTCTTAATTCAATTTATTGAAATAACTTTTTTTTTCCAATTCTTTGTATGACTTTTTTTCTTTTCATTTTTTATTGAGTTGAGATGGGACTAATTTAAAAGAAAAGCTTAAAACATTTCTTTAAAATTGAAATCTATTCCCAGTACCCACAATCCTAGAGGAAGAGGAAAAACAGTAGTATCAATAGAAGGAGAAGAAAATGGACAGAGCAAAACTCTTAATTCTATGATATATTTAGTGCTTAAAGGGAAAAAAAAAGGGGAGAGTGATGAGTGAGCATTTCATTGTCAGTCAGTTTAGGGGGAAAAAAGTGGACTTCTGCCACAAACCAGACCTCAAAAAAATGATATAAGAATTTACCTCTCTGGTGAATTTCAAAATTAATTACAAATGTTATAGTTGCTTAACAAATAAGATTAATAAAATGGATTGAAGGTACAACCATTCAATGATGCATACTAGGTCACTCAAGCAAGAAGGCTTTTTTATTATTTTTAGCCCTTTTGAGACATCAGTCGAAGAGTTTAATAATTACTGAAAACTTCCAACTTATGTCCAGAATTTAATTTTGTGGGAAAAGAAGTACAGAAGAAAATCCTCAAATTCTTAACACAATTTCATTTGATTGTTAATAAATAAATCAAATGTACAGGAAATAGTTTTCAAATATGATGTATATCAAAAGTAATAATTTCACCACAGAATGTAATACAAAGTTCATCTAGGTGCTGATTCTTTTTTCAAGATAGTCAGTAAGAAAACTTGTGAATTATGTTTTTGATCCTTGACATACTATTTAATGTGCTTTTATAGTGAAGTATGTTTGATAAAATAATGCATCCTATCACTCATTTTGTTTTTTGTTTGTTTTTGGAAAGGCAGCTGGAGTTAATGAGTTGCCCAGGGTCACACAGCTAGTAAGTGTCTGAGGCTGGATTTGAGGTCAGGTGCTCCTGACTCCAGGACCAATAATCTATCCACTGTGCCACCTTGCTGCCCCAATATCACTCATTTTTTCAGTATATTTTAATAATATAGACATGTATACATCTTTCCAATAAAATGATATGATAATAGGGTATTATAAAGACAGATTATAGAAAGTCTAAAGAATTTTACTTCTTTGGCAGGTAAGAAGTTAATTAATCAACTTGATGGAATTGTAAGGTAGCTATAACCATTAAAAAGAAGGATCCGTCACAGTATTGGTGATCC